CCTCGCCCTTCCCCCTAGGCTTTCACCACACTACTGTCTGTGTCCATGGGTTATGCATTTATGCATATAAGTTCTTTGGTTAATCTCCCCCCCTCCCCACCTGCCTTCCCTCTGAGATCCCTCAGGCTGTTCCATGTTTCTATGTCTCTGGATCTATTTTGTTAATCAGTTTATTTTGTTCATTAGAGTCCACATATAAGTGAGATCATGTGATGTTTGTCTTTCTCTGCCTGGCTTATTTCACTTAGCATAATATTCTCCAGGTCCTTCCATGCTGTCCCAGAGGGTAAGAGATCCTTCTTTTTTTACAGCTGCATAGTATTCCATGGTGTAAATGTCTCATAGCTTTTTAATCCAGAAAAATTAATCAGGAATTGATAAAAATCCAGGGGGGGTAGAGTGTAGGAAATGTGGCAAAGAGGTTAGAGAGGTAGATGGGGGACATAATATTTATTCAGAATACCTGTTCTGTGATCAGCACTGTGGGAGAAGTCCTTTTTCAAGTATCAAGATGTATTTAATTAAATGGTATTTTTTGAGTTCTTAGAAATCCTTCCCCCTTATCCTAAATTCAGTCCCTTTTCTGAGTATAAAATTAAAATAAAATAAAAAGATTAGTGCATGGATAGTGGATGCTATGATGAGCCACCCAGATCCATCCCTTCAGGAACCGAGTGTTTATTTCCACATTCACAAGGTGTGTTGGTTGACTGAAAGACCTCAGCTGAATTTCTTTGGGAGTTGCAGCTAAGAGAGCAGATTCACCTAAAGTCACACTTCTCATGGGGAGTGGGAGGGAGTAGAGGAGTATAAAGACAGGTACTCTTGGGTAGGCAGAACAAGTCTGAGGGGTCCTCCCAGCTCCAAGGCACCCCCTAGGATGTGATGAGGTCACCACAGGACTGCATCACAGTTCATCTCCTCCTCAGCTGTGTCCTTTCTTGACTTTTCCAAAGGTGTTGAGCCCAAAGGTCCCCAGTAAACTTCCCACATGGCAACCTTGATCTCAGTGTCCATTTCCCAGGGACCCTAACCTAAGACAGCTTGTAAATATTATATGTCTATACATGCATCATTTTTTTTAGTTAATATTTCAAAGAGTTGCCTTCTGTGTAGGATTTGCAGGGGACTTGATAATGATGGTGATGACAGACGCTATAGAGCACTTACCTGTGTCAGGCTCTATACTGACAAAGCCTTTATATGCATCCATATTTCATTGAATCCTCACAACAACCCTTTAAGACGGACATTATATTATATAATTTAATAAGTTATGACTCTGCAGCTAAGAAGATCAAATGGATTGACCAAAGGTCACACAGCAAATAAAAGGTAGCACTAAGTCTAGAATCCACCTGCTCTTAAACCCATGTCTATGCCCTTAATCATCCAAATACACTGTCTCCTAAGACTCACTCATTCAGCAGCACATTAAATTCTATCCTTTACTGTGGCTACTTGTGAGTGAAAAAACAGCCTGGTTTAAAGTCTGCATGCTTATAATTAAATTACATGCTTATTATTACCTTGTCCCAAGAAATTAAAATGTAAGAATTTATTCTATTATCCAACTCAATAAGAATGATAAAGTAAATTTTCTAAGATCTAATTTAAGAGCTAATAGAATTAAATGTCTGTTTTACCAACTACGCGATCACAGATGGGATAACTGTCGTTGGAGGCATCTCTGGAGCAGACAGCCAAAGACAGCTGCTTGTTCCCAGCAGTGGTCGTAAGTGCTGAGACTTTATCGAAAGTCACAGAATAAGGTCACGGTTTGCTAAATGTTTCAAGCTAGCTGCATAGCTATAAAGAAGGGACAATAAATACAAAAAAAAATAAATTGAGATTCTGGGCAACTGTCTGCAGAGCAGATTGTTATTAACTAAAAGAAAGAAAATGATGAGACGGCCGTGACTGGTGACACCTGTGTTGCACAGTCCTATATTTTCATCTAGCTGTCTCTTCCTCTGTCTTTTCTCAATTGTCCCGGGATTTTGTAAGATTTCACAATTTGATCTATAAAGAAAAGAGCAGATAGAATTGGAGGCCTTACCTGTCCGATAATGAGAGGAACCACAACAGTCACAGAAAGCTGAGAAAAAATAGATGTAAAAGGCACCGAAGAGGACGAGCCGAGCTGTAAAACAAGGACATGAGAGGAGTGTGGTTACTTGGAATCAGTCACCAAACAGTGCTGTTAACTAAATCATACAATAAGTGAATTCTTCCACATGCACCACAAATTTGGTAGCTAGATACAAAGAGCGAGTGAAGTTATTTTCAAATTTTTTATATGAATGCAAAATAGACTTAAGTAGTTTAATATACATTTTTTATTGGACCCTAAGGTTGAGGAAAAGTGATAACTGCTGTTTTACAATGAACTGAAATCGCTCATTATTGAGTCCGTTTCTGAAGAGCAAAGCGATCTGAGTTCTCAGTGTCAGTAACTGCATGGAAGGTAATCCCCCCGTAACCACAGCTTATGCGGCTGCTCTTCCACCTGTCACCTGCCGAACACACACGAGCGGATCTTCTTACTCTCTGACCAAGGTGATATTTTTATTTATGCAAATGAAATATTTTCTAATTTCCTACTTCTTCCAAACAAAGGCAATGAATCTCATATTCTTTAAAATTCTTTTTGACACAAAGCCTAGCAAATGAGAAATCCTGGAACATGACTTATTTTTCAACTTAAAATTTCAATACACCTCTCCTAGATGTGTATGTCTTAACACTGGTCGGAATTCCTGTTTGTTCTTATCCTTCCTCCTTTTTTGGTTCTTTCCTTGCTAATTCCTGCAACCTCAGCGTCATAAAGACTCTACAGCCAGCAGCACAAGCCGGCATTTGTCTGTGAACACAGCCACACTCTCACATTAGCCTCAGCCACCAAGAACTGCTGTCTTCCTAGGAACTCTAATGTTTTTCAAACCTCCTTCTGGTTTTCAAACCTGAAAAATACTAGGCTGTTCCATAGGCATTTGTCTCTTTTATAACTCCCTTTTGCCACCAGATTCTCCCAAACCATTACTAATGAGCTCCCTGGCCCTTGGAATTGACTGTCACCCTTCTCCCGCAGACCAAACTTCAATTTTCACAGTGACCTAAGTTTGGTTAAACTTGGAAATACCTTCTGAAAAATAATTTTTGTAGAATACACTGAGGTAGTGATGACTGAGGGTGTAGAATGTTAAGTAAAACAAATTAAATATTTAGATCAGTGAAGTCAATAGCTCAGGATGAAGTACGTGGGATCGGTGTTCTCACTGGTTTCTGCGTGAACTGGCTTACCCAAACCTTTCCCCACTATGGAGGATTTCATAAAGCACTGTGCCCTGTCCTTAGTCCCTATCCAGATGCACTCAAAATGCCAAGAATATATGTCCTGCCCATCAGTGCCTGCACTAGTTCAACACCTTCAACACTGACCACTGGCCATGAGTTTAACACATAAACTGTAGCCTTTTCCTCCATGACCGAGACACACTAATGAAATGAGAGTGAAGTGGGAAAAGTAGAACTGGTGAGGAACAGATAGGAGTCCTGGTGCATTAAATGCTACATGGCTGTAAGATGTCTCTTTTTATGCAAAGCCAAAGTAGTAAAAACCAATAATTTCAGCCTATTTTAAAGCAGCAATGTCCTGGAGGCACAAGGTACTTAACAAATATATTCTATTCACAAATATCAATTCCAAGGATGTCCCTGGGGACATAAAGAAATAAAGGATTGAAATAAAGAAAAATATATTTTACAGGAAATTGAAGCACTGGGTGAACAGAAAAATGCACTTTAAAGAACAAAGTTTTCAAGTTCAAAAACATCCAAGTCAGTGCTCTATCCATAGGTTTACAATGTCCAGAGAGAGCCAGTTAGAGTGAGGGTAATAACCTTCTAGAAAAGGTGACAATTCTTGTGGAAGCTCATGGATGATCTTACATAGCCCTGTTCTTTGTATCTCAACTTTATTAAGTTAGTTAATGCTTTTAAGGTATTTTAATGAATCACCATATCACAAGCGATAGTCCCTCTGCCATCCCAGTGCTTAACCCAGTAACTGGCACAGAGGATGTGCTTGCAGTTGAGTAAACCTGTGCAGATGAACAAATGAAGTAATTTGTAAACATGAGGTACTAAAAAGTGACAGACTCTTTTTCAAGGCCATATCCGTTTTTTCCTAAAGTTAAAAAACACACAAAACCTAGGTATATATAAAAATATTGTCACGTGGTATTATAAAAATCACGTGGTATTATTTTTTTCTCTGCTTTTTTATCACTAGTAACACAGCAATTCTAATGTGCATCTAGACACAAGGGGCATCTAGTTATGATGAGAGGCATGTGAAGAAAGGGTGACAGTGTGTGTGTGTGAGTGTGCGTATGTGTCTGTGTGTGAGTGTGCATGTCTCAGTGTGGGTGTGTGTGTATGTATTTGAGTATATATGTGTCTATGTGTGAGTGTGTGTGCCTGTGTGAATGTGAGTCTGCATGTGAGTGTGTGTCTATGAGTATGTATATATGTCTGTGTCTGTGTATGTGAGTATACATGTGTCCATGTGTGTGTCTCTGAGTGTGTGCGTGTGTCTNATATATGTCTGTGTCTGTGTATGTGAGTATACATGTGTCCATGTGTGTGTGTGTGTGTGAATGTGTGTGTGTCTCTGAGTGTGTGCGTGTGTCTGCGTATGCGAGTGTATGTGTGTCTCTGTGTGAGTGTGTATGTGGAACAGAGCGAGGGAGGCATGTGCATGTTCTCTGCCCTCAGTTCCCCCCACCCCCTCCTTGGACCCTTAATGCTGCTCTGGAAGAGACCTAAAATTGATAGAATCTTAACCCTGGGAGAGATTCATAGTCCCATTCATTCCCTCTTTTTAAAGATGTGAAAACTGAGGTCCCGCAAGTGAACTATTATTAACATCTCTAATACCTGCATTATGATATGAGATTGGCTACGCTTCTAAAACACATCCAAATTGTTCTTTAGCTAAATCTGTTCTGTGATAACAGCTCTCCTACACTGGGAAGGCCTGTGTTTAACCATAAAATATTCCTGCAAAGCAGTAAACTCAGAGATCAAATGCAGAGAAAAGCTAAAATGTGACTTCATTTATTAAGTTACTTTTGGGAATTATTTTCAATCCCGATTCTACCTAAAAGATCAAATTTGGGCATAAGAGAAGTAAAGGAAAATCCATTTCAACTTTGGTTTTAAGAATATTATGTATTTTAACTTCCATTCATCATTTGTATGGTCAGTGTTTGAAAACCTCCTGTTCCTCAGATAGTGGACAGGGCTATGGGGTGAGGGGGTGGTTGACCATTGTCCCCACTGTACCTCTGTCCTCTGAAATGCCTATGATCTTTGATGCACTAGATGAGGAACACCCTCCCCGGAGGCGTTGTCAGATCAGAGGCCAGAGCAAGCTAGCCAGGGATGTAATTAACCGGGTTATGCAATCCCGCAGGATGGCTCCCTTAGAAGTGGCTCTGAAAGGAAGGAAACCTCAGTGCGGGGCTCTAATTTGGCATAAGTCCTTTCTTTCGAATTGGCCACCAGACCTATTGCCAGGTCAGTGTGGAGATGCAGAGGGACCCTTGGGGAAGTTTCTGACATGATGAAGCATGCCCTGGCATCCAGAAGAAAGAGTAAGCAGCTGGCACAGGGCAGCTTCTGAGCACATGACTGGAAGCGTCCAAGACCCAGTCATTCTATATGCAGAGTGATCTTAACTAAAGCAGAAGGAAATATGCTGTTTGGGATGCTTGGTTCTTCACACTTTAATGAGGAACCTGTCATGGTTTCTACTGTGAAGAGCAGTATGTTTACAGGATGCATCCATAACTTGCACACTTGGATAGACTTGCAGGTTTAGGAAAACACTGTATCAGTGCTCTAGGCCTCAATGAGGAACCCAGGTAGATGCAGAGGCAACATGCCTCATACTGCCGACCAGTGCTTCAGGACAGTGCATTAAACAATCCAGTCATCAGCGAATTTCTTTCAGGAATATAGTGCTGTAAAGCAGAAAACTCACAAGTAGGTTTACTTATTTGCTTTAATATCTTATGCTGAAAAGAAGTGATTCAGTAAAAATTAAACATGTGGGAATTTAGGACCTTTGTGTTCACTCAAATAGTCACTGGTGTCTCCTGTGAGCAAGAGCATGCTCTAGGCACTGGGGATGGGGATCCAGCCGTGAACTAAATTCCTCTCCAGGAATTGAGTTTTAAAAGTTGAGCTCTGCGTGTGGGTCCACCCATCACCAGCGCACACATGCTCCTTCCCATGAATGTCTTTCGCCCCTTCCCACTTAGACCTAGAAAAGTTCTAGTCTCTTTCTAAGACTTACTTCAAGCATTGCTCCTTCTGGAATCCTTTCCAAACCCTCCTCCAAAAATGCAGAAGTGGCCACCCCTCCTTCGTGGCTCAGCTTCCACTATACCTCTCAGAACCCTTGGTTGCTCTTGTTTGCAAACCTGTCTCTCCCAGGAGTCTGTATGTTCCTGAAGGCCAGGAACAGGGTCTTACTCACGTTTACATTTCCTGTGCCCAGCAGAGTGACTGTGTTTTACATCTGGGGCACTGGTTCTTACACCAGCACAACAGAAGCATCTGTTTGCTAAAACAGAGACTGCTTGGCCCCACCTTGAGAACATCTGAGGAGAAGGGTGAAAGGGGGTAGAGGATGGTGAGAATCTGCATTTCTAATGAGGCCCAGGTGCTGCTGGTGCTGTGGAGCTGTGGTTCACACTCTGAGAACCACTAACCCAGTACATAGTAGGTGCTCAACAAATATGGGTTCAGTGAATGAATGACAATACCTAGGTAGAAAAAGGGGCCTGACGACGTTTTCTTTTCTTTCCATCCTTCCAACTTCAGGTAACTTACAAAGTCCTACAGAATTCACAGACCCAAGGCAGGATCAGTAGCCTGGCCTCGCACACAACTGTTTCACAATTACACTAACGGCAGCACTCATTGTGCACTTTCTCTGTGCCAGACACTGCTCTGAATGCTTAATGTATGTTGAATAATTCAATACAGCAGCCCCCTGAGGTGGGTCTTATCAGTACCCTGATTTTCATGAGGTAAGAGTGGCATAGAACAGTTAAACCACTAGGTCACCAT